TTTGTTGTGTTTGTTGTGTTTGTTGTTTGTTGTTTGTTGTTTGTTGTTTGTTGTTGTTGTTGTTGTTGTTGTCGTCGTTGTTGTGTGTGCGGGTGTTGTTGTCGTCCCTGCAGGCAAGCTGGGTTGGTTACTGTGGTGTCGGTCTCTCTGGGACTTGCGCTGAGCCGGTGACTATGATGCCGATGGAAGCAGTGGCATCGTGTAACGATGATGTTCTCGATTCTGGTGACAGTGGTGCAGGTGATCATGATGATGATAATGAAAGTCATGATGGACATGATGGTGATGATGAAGAGGTTGATGATGATACTGATGATGTTGTTGTGAATGATGATCTTGATTATGCGTAGTAGTGTGACGCCACTTTCGCTGACAAAACTCTACAGGACGGTGGGCGGTGGGTTTCTTCCTCTTTTTCTGTCATCATGTAGTGGTGTCAGCCTCAGGTGGGAGGGCCCGAGCATGCCAGCTTCAAGGACTGGGGATATCGACGCGGATAGTGTGAAGGATGTTCGTTTCATGGTCAGGGCTGTAGCTTTAAAGTAAAGATTGTGGGCAGCACAGCACGTTGCAGGGCATTGGCATGCAGCCCACAGGAGATCGTAGAGTTTGTCGCCAGCAATGACGACGTGGAGTTCCTAGGTTCCGGGGGCTGCCCTGCACTTCCTTCTCTAGAGAGAGTTCTTGCAGAGGTGCGCCGGTCGACGGGCACCTGTTCTCTCCGAGAGAGGGCATCTGCCAACTGGCCGTCGGGCGCTTACTTCGCCGAAGAATCTCCCCAACAGCCTCGAATCCGAAGGTCCTAAACCCGGAAAACACCAAAAACCACAAAGCCTAAGCGACTTTAAAAGCCTGTAACCTGGAACACCGCTTTCGATCGCCCTCTTCCCAGCCTTCATAGGATGCATCAAACCCGAATGTTGCCTGTTAAAACCCACCCCTTCCATCCCCTCTTTCAAATGCCTCCCTCTGCATGCTGCCTCAACTTTCGTACAGAGATTTGTGCTTTCCACCTCGCGGTCTGAGGAGAAGTTGAGGCAGCACGCATGTATTCCAAACGAGGCAGCTCGCATTTTTTGACGAATGCACCGTCATTTTGTGGCTTAGGGGAGTTTTAAGTTAATCTAAACTATTGCATTCCACCTGAGCTTTTTGCATGCTGCTGAGGCAGCACGCAAAAATCTTTGTAGCACGAGGCGGCATGCGTAGAGAGCCCCTCGCCTCTTCCCTCTCCCTGAGTAAGATATCCTTGCCATAAGGACCCCTAAGATTCCCTGAAGCGCCGATATCCTCGACCCTGAACCCCCAACCCTAAACTACCTTAAACCCTAAACTACCCTGAACTCTATACCCTAAACCCTAAACTATCCTAAACCATAATCCGAAATCCCAAACCCTAAACCCAAAACTATCCTAAACCATAATCCGAAATCCCAAGCCCTAAACCCTAAACCCTTTTGCCGAGATCATTGGCTACGGTTCTTGGGCCGAGCGCCCCGGCTGGGTGGAAGGCATCCCATCGAGCGCCGTGCTTTGTCCTGGGCAGGTGACGCCTGGACAAGGAGTAGTAGGGTTTAGGGTTTCGGGTAGTTATTATGGTAGAAATACTGTTGCTATGATGTTCGTTTCTATTATTATTAATAGAAGTAATACGAGTAGTAGCAGTAGTAGTAGTCGTCGTCGTCGTCGTCGTCGTAGTAGTAGTAGTGGACGACAGAAACTGAGACGAAGAGTTCTATGAAGCGAGGTTTTCTAGGTTTCAGTAGGTATTGGACGGTTGTAAACGGGTCAGTTGTTTTAAATTGGGTTTGATGAGAGTTTTGAATTGGTTTTAATGAGGCTTGATGAGGTATTATGGGTTTCTAAATCCTTCAGTAGTAACCCCGCTGCCCTTGGTAATTTCCTGTTGGGATGCCCGAGTGCAAACGGAAAAAAGGCAACAAGCGACAAGCCAGGGTATCCTTGTACAATACTGGGATACGGGGCAGCGTGGAAGTAATACCAATAGAAGAAGAGTACATCATGATAATGACTGTACCATTGACATGGTAAGACGGCAGGAACAACGAAATTTTTTGCGACCACGAAAATAATCGTAGTACGTAGTCGCACGAGCGGTAAGAGTGTAGACAAATGTTCGGTAATGGATAGAACACCAACACCAGAACACGATGATACGGGACTGGCCGAAGGAATTGATTCTGATGGTAGTGGTCCCTAACCCCCCAGGTACCTACTTTCCAGGGTACTAGAGCCCCTAGGGCCCGGTGTTGTGGGTACCTGGAGGGTTTGGGAGTGGTTGCTTCTCCGGCAAGGACAGTACCTCTAATTTAACCTCTAGTCTCCGTTGTAGTTCATTTTTTGGTTAAACCAAATTTATAGTAAGGATCCTAAAAGGTAACCCCAAAAAGGAACTACAACGGACACTATAGGTAGGATGTCGACGATACTTATGATCTTAGTGATGCTGTTGTGATTCTGATGATGGATGGTGAATTTGATGGCTCGATGACAGCGGCGATCCGAAGACGGTGCACCGGAGATCTGAGGATCGTGCTTCGTCAGGCACCACCCCAGCGTAATTCCATTGCCTTCATTGCCGGCTACCTCTGTGGCTATGCCTGTTCTGTCTGCTCTCGACATCTGATATCGACCGAACGAGCATGACACAGGGCTTCTGCTTGCGAGTCATGCAAGTCTTGAACTTCTTCTCTTCCATACTGCACGGGTGCAGTGGTCTTGAAAAAGCAAGATCGACGTGCTGCCTGGCCTGACTCGCATGCATCAGCAGAAAAAGACGCGAATTGTTCAAAAGCACGAGCACGGGCTTCGCAACTTTGTCACAGCAAGCAGTCTGTTAGCAATCCTCAACCCCCCACCAGTTACCTACTAGAAAGGGCCCTAGGGGCTCTAGTACCCTATATGGGTTATAACTAGAGAACCCTAAACCCTCAACCCTAAACCCTATATAGTAGGTACCTGGGGGTTAGGGAATGTTGTGCGATATCTGCTGCCTTTGAGGCCTCACGAGAGATGCAGCGAAATCTGCGGACAACTGATGGCCGCCGATGGCTCAGCAAGCGATGTTAGTTGGGTGCGTTAGGGGTTTGGGGTTCAGGGTTTAGGGTTTAGGGTTTAGGGTCATTCGACCTGCAGCTTGACATCCGATCCTTGGCAAAGCCAACCACAACCTCACTGCGCTGCGTGCATTGGCCCTGTGCTTTACACAGTGAGCTGCGTTACTTGAGCAGAGGGTCCTAAACCGTGAAGTCCTGAAGCAGTCAAAACCCATATCTCTAAATGGCCCTAGACCAAGAAGTCATCTCCAAAATACCTAAATTTCAAACCATCAAGTGGCCGAGGTTTGGATACTCTCCAGCAGAGTTTGGAGAGCAGCAGCGCTGCCGGAAGCTGAGCCGGGGAAGTGTTGTACTAGTGTCATCGGCAGCTTTTCTTATTCCCGTTACAATGCAGACGGTCGGGGGGAACAATCTTCACGAGACAACTTCACATATCACGCCAGAGCAGAATCTTTTTGTGCTGCTTCGCGGCTGTGCGATGCGAGCGTGGATTAGAACGGCATGTCAATAGCAAACTTAGGAATCATCTTCCAAACAACTCCATGACGTAAAACGCCACTTCCTGCACCTCCAGTGTCTTGCTCACCGCTTCCGAGGCTTTGAACACGGAGATATCAGGACTTTCTGACAAGGCTTTGGCTTCTTGATGTTCGCTGTCTGGCAGATGTATGTCTCGCATATCATGATTCAGTTGCAGATGCCATTCCCAAAAAGCTGGATGTCCAGGTGGAAGGCCTGCAATCCGTGACAAAGACGCTTTCCAAGCAGCGTGACCTGGAATTGCTGGAAGCGCGCATGCAAAAGGCACACGTCTCACTTACAAACCTGTACGGTGCAAATGATGACAGTGGACTTTCCCAAACAGCCAAACCAGTTGTAATATTTATGAGTCTGTCAGTGACAGGTAATGTTATATTGCAAGAGCGGTTAGGGATTTGTAGACGGATGCATGTCAATGTGCCCTAACCTAAACCTCCAAACCGTAATGGCACTGTGTGGCTTTCGGGGCTTCCAAGCTGCGTGGCTCAGGCGTTCAATATAGTGCAGTGTAATTAATAGCGTTGTCTAGTATAGCCAGCCTAGCATCGTTTTGTATAGCATACTCTAGTAGTATAGCAGAGTACAGTACAGCAACGTCGAGTGCAGTTACTGTAGCATAGTGGGTACGTAGTTAGTATAGCAGAGTACAGAGAGGTATGGAATAGTATAGCGTCGTATTGGCTAGAGTTCAGTACGGTACAGTACAGTAGCGTAGAGTAGAGCAGACCAGAGTGAGTGAATATAGCTTTAAGTATATATCACAGCATATCATCTTACATATAGCAAGCTATAACACAAATTCCATAAGACAATACGATGCAGCACAATACGGTGCAATGATGCCAGATATGGATTAACACAAAAAGTCATATGGCACGTTACAATGTAATGAAACCAAATGTAATGTAAGGTATCATAAAACAACACATCATGACACAATGAACTACTTATTATCAGAGTATGTACTATAACTCAATACAACATTAGCCTGTATTTTGATGTAATGTTATACTACAATATAGTACAATGTAATATGACATAAACATATCAGTAAAATCATCGAACAAACAAGAAGTCATATTGTGAACATATAGTTTGAGCAAGATACACCACCGATATATATATATATATATATAACAGACAGTGCGTACAGAATATTGCACCAATGATACATTATTCAATAGATGTGTGCGTATATATATATATATACACATGTGTATATATATATATATACTGCGTGTATATATACATATGCATATTGATGTTGTGTAGTATACGACAAATGACATATAAGATATCATGTGACGTAGATCTAACATATCTTAAATGATATAGTATAATGTTATAAAACTATAGCCGAGTATGGTATAGCACAGTGTAGATAATGTCCCACAATCGAATGGAAGCTGCACCCCGTCTCTCTACCCCGGACCCCAAAGTGAACAACCGGACGTAAGCTTCAGAGATCCCACAAACTAGATTCACAACGTTCAACCCCGAATGCCCCCTAAACCCTAATAAATCCCAAGCTCTGAACCCTAAATTCCAGACCGAATGCGGAACGGAAAAGAGGTCTCAAAAAACAAAGAACCCTAACTGCAACTCCAAAGCCTTGAAGCCCGAGAGAACTTTGCAGGCTGAGACATCGCTCCAGGCCACCACAGAAGAACTCGGTTCTGCCCTGAGATTTTTCGGTGGTGTTCGAGCATTGGTGGCTCTTCCCTGCTTGTTCTACGACTTTGGGATTTTGTGTTTAGGGTTTAGGGGCTTCAGAACCTCGGCCACCGTTTAGAAGCGAACATCAAGGTGAGATGCTGGCCTGTGCGGCACATTTAAGGTGCCGCAGCCTAGGCTGAAGTTGACGAGACCAGATGACAGCCACATCCGTAAATCGAAGCGCCTGCAATCCTTTCGTTGGATCTGAGGCATGAGATAAGTCCTACAGACCTCAAAAGCCCAACCCTAACCCTAAACCCTAAACCGTCCCACACCAAGCCTACCCTACAACCCCCTTTTGTAAGACCCTGAAGCCCCAAAACCCTGATGCCTAAAGCATCCCTAACCCCCAGGTACCTACTATATAGGGCCCTAGGGGCTCTAGCAATCCATATAGTAGGCACCTGAGGGGTTAGGGAACCCGAAGCCCTAAACCCTAAACCAAAAAACCTTACACCCTAAACCCTAAACCCTAAACCAAAAAACCCTAAACCCTAAACTCTAAACCAAAAAACCCTAAACCCTAAACCAAAAAACCCTAAACCCTAAACCCTAAACCTACCTGGCGGGTTTAGGGATAATGCTGGCTCTTTCCATGCCTGGCCTCTCAGCCTGGGAGCCCGGAAACCGACCAAAACGCTCCAGGCTATGAAGTCCTAAAGGAGGGTTTAGGATGCAGGGTTTAGAATTTAGGATTTAGGATTTAGGGTTTAGGATTTAGGGTTTAGGATTTAGGATTTAGGATTTAGGGTTTAGGATGTTGGGTTTAGGATGTAGGATTTAGGGTTTAGGATGTAGGGTTTATGATGTAGGATTTAGGATTTAGGGTTTAGGATTTATGATTTAGTACTTTAGGGTTTAGGGTTTAGGAAACAACCCTCAAATCCTCCCGGAGCATGCCGCGGCAGGACGCAAAGCGGCTGTCCTGACCTCGGTCTCGGGATGAAACCGCCATAAACTTTACGCTTCGGGGCTTTGGGTTGTGGGATTATCATGCCGTCCAAGGTTCAGAGTGTGGTGGGGTGCAAGTGGCTGAAAAACAGCCAGTCAAAGATGCCGGAGTGAAGTGGGATTTCGAGGATGGTTCTGATGGTTAGCTCGGAGCCTGGATTAAGACGCGACGTATGAATATGCAATGTACCACGAGGATCGGGATGATGATGATGATGATGATAATGATGAGGATGTCTGATGATGGTGATGATTCTGATGATGATGGTGATGAGAAGGAATACGACGATCGTGGCGATCCGGCTTTCACACAGGAAGCCAAGGGAGACTGCAACTGTCGTGGTGAGGGTGGAGGGTGATTTGTGATGCTTCTTATTTCTGCCGCTTGCGCTGGTGCTGCCCTTGCGATTTATTGCCGTATTGCCAGAGCCCCTTGACCTCAAAACCCTAAGCCTTAAACCCTAAACCCAAAAAGCAACGCAGGCCTCGGCAATGAAGTCTCTGTCGGACCGTGTCACGGAGATGGGGATGGAGGCTCGCGGCGCACGGGGAAGGACGAAGTTGTGGACGACCTCAGCAGCGCGCCAACAGCACGGATTACATGAATGAAACTGTGACTCCAAGCCTTTATGTTTTCTGTCATGTCGACTACTGAGTTACTTAGTATTACTGTCATTCCCCGTGTGACTCAGTGCCGCTGGCATCTCCATTGCAGCTCTCACCTCACCTTCACCAACCACTGCCTGTGCCGTCTCTTTCACTCTGGATGCTACTACAAGTAGCAGCAGCAGTAGAAGTAGCAGCAGTAGAAGTAG